TTATTATTCATTCATTTTCATTTATGGAGACCAGGGGTCTTTAGCATAAATTGCCAGGCTTAGAAGTGGGCAATGGCAAACAATCATCAATTCCCCCAACTGCAAAGCCTTCCAAAACACATGCTTTGGGGCTCAAGCCGATCCTCCACCTCAAAGCCTCAAAACCCTGATACTGGAGGACATTACACAGCCACCCGGCCACGCTTGTTGGTTACATTTTTTTTTAAATTATTATTGAATTTAATTCGTTTTAAGTGGGGGTTCTTCGGCCGATGGGTGCTTTTAGCTTGGCCCGCCTCAAATTCTTGGCTTCAAACGATCTTCCCTCAGCCAGGCATGGTGGCTCTGCCTTCAAACAACCTGTCCAATCCTACAGCCACTCTGGGAGCAGAGGCGGGAAGGATGCGCTCAACGGTCAGGAAGTTCGACACAACCCAGCCCTGAAAGCACGAAAAAAGCGAGGAACCCCATTCCTTACCCTTAAAAGAAAAAAAATAGACAGAAATGAATTGGCCAACTAAAAACATATAGGGGAAAAAAATCAGCCGGGCATGGTGGCGCATGCCTGTAGTCCCAGCTACCCGGGAGGCCGAGGCAGGAGGATTGCTTGAGCCCGGGAGTTTGAGGTTGCTGTGAGCTAGGCTGACGCCACGGCACTCTAGCCGGGGGGAACAGAGTGAGACTCTGTCAACAAAACAAAACAAAACAAAACAAAAATAAGGAATTGAATCCCCCCAGCAAGAATGTCTCAGGACTGCAGCCGAAACCCCCATTCATAGAAACAAAGCATGATTACAGACTGAAGAGCAAAGGCAAATGTTTTTAAAAGCCTGATGATTTCCCCTTCAACTCAGTTTTACTTCCCATTTGCTTCCTCTGGGCGTGTCTTGATTCTTGGTGTTTGGTTAATTGTCATCGCCCAGCTGTCCCTTTGTGTGAGCCTAGGTACTTTACTCAACCTCTCTGAAGTTACTAACGGAATTAATACATGTAAATTGCTTAGCAGTGTCTGGTCCATTTTCTCTGCTCAGGAAATGCTAGTTGCTGCTTCATCATCTTCCTATCATAATCTTTTTTCATATTAATATAAAGGTTAATACACATTACTAGTATCTATCCGTATTTACACCAGTGGTAACATTTTGCTTTTGCTTACCAATATTATTTCTTTTTTTCTTTTTTTTTTTTTTTTTTTTTTTTTTTTTTTTTTTTTGAGACAGAGTCTCACCCTGTTGCCGGTTGCCCGGGCTAGAGTGAGTGCCGTGGCGTCAGCCTCGCTCACAGCAACTCTCAACTCCTGGGCTCAGAGATCCTCCTGCCTCAGCCTCCCGAGTAGCTGGGACTACAAGCATGCGCCACCATGCCCGGCTGATTTTTTCTATATATTTTTAGTTGTCCAGCTAATTTCTTTCTATTTTAGTAGAGACGGGGGGTCTCGCTCTTGCTCAGGCTGGTCTCAAACTCCTGACCTTGAGCGATCCTCTAGCCTCAGCCTCCCAGAATGCTAGGATGACAGGTGTGAGCCACCACGCCCGGCCCATTTTACTTCTTTGTCTTTAAAGAAACATCTGCCAAATAGCCCACGTTGTAATCTGAAGCCTGAGTTGATAAGAGTTTGATTATTATACTTTTCTCATTTAGGAACGTATCACAAACTGTTTGAAACATATGACATCATTAAAGCACTGACAAAATATTTGCTAATGTGGAAATAGGTTACTTTGAGGTTCTGTTATTAGCAAAATACACATCTATTGGGGAAAAGACAAACTTTCTGAATCTATTATTATTCATTTTACCAGACCCTACATGACGTTTTTAAATACTCACATGAAGCTTTTTGTCTGCAGTAGGGTAGAAATTTTATATGCCTTTTTTTAAATGCTGCATACATTAGGAACATATGAAAGAGAAAATACAATTATTGCGGGCTTTACTAGGCTAATAAATATTATTTCATGATTTTTCAGTGATAACTAATCTGTATATATCTAGAATAATCAACCTAAAACCTTCATAACTCTGGCATGGTGACATTTTGAAAGTAATTAGCGTTCAGTTTTTTTGTTTTTGTTTTTTTTAATTCCATAAATGCCATGGGATTTTCATCGCGTTTCAAGCCTCGCCGACCATGATAATTCCCACAGTGCCATTAGTGGCTGTCTGTGTAAGGTAATATGTATTTGGGATGAAATTGATTATGGCCTAAACACTCCTGTGTTATGCTCAGGAAAAGCACGCAAAGTTCACATCTTTTTTTTTTTTTTCTAATGATCGTTCTGTAGCTAAAGATATTAATTTCCAGAGGCAGAACAGCCTATCACTCAAGATCTCAATCTCAAAATAAATGACACCCGGACAAAAGGAAATAAATCTGCAGGGCCTACCACTAAAATGAATAGGTTCTCTTCTCAAGGAGCTCTTAGGATAAAGGGAAAATTTAAAAAAACTGTTTGAGTACAGTGTTTTCCTTATAGGCATCAGAGTAGACCCACTGTAATTTTTGCTGAATTTTCAGAAGTGCCCTATTACCCTTGTTAGAAATTCCCGTGATCATAACCACCAGCACACTCCGATGTTAACCTACTTGTAACTTTTCTCAGTATACCCTGCTGGCTGTATACATCTTTGGTCCTTTATTTTTCCCTGGTTTAAAAAAAGTGTTTTTTTCCCCTTCCATCCGTGCAAAATCAGGTGCTTTCCTTCTTCCAAATACGATTTCCACACGATCTCCCCAGTGAAATAATTTTATTTTTAGGCGTTTGTGTCTGTCAGTGTGTGTCTGTATGCTTTCTGAGCTAATTTCTCTCCTTAAAGCTAGAAAATACACAGATATATTTTATATGGTTCCAATGGATGTGTTCATACCTTAGCTCTCATGTCATCTAGTTACCCCAGTGTTTTATGAAACATACCATGAAGAAAACTTTTTTTGGTTTAGAAAATTTTGAGGGCTTGTATTACTAAACTGTCCCGTGATCATTATAATCCTCATGGTGCTTCCTGTAGAATATTTAAAATTTGAATATAGCTATGTCCTGATTTTCCCTGGGATGTGAGCCAGAACGATTTAACTGAAAATGCCCTGTAAGTAGCCGAAGGCATTGATAGAACCGTGGTCTAAAATGTTGAAGTTTGGTAATTGCGGTGTTCGCATAGTTGATGCTGAACTGTTCTTCCTTTCCTTTCTTGAACTTCTTGATGATGATGACGGTTCATCAGGTTATGATAGATTTCCAATCTGCTTCCCATTAAAGGTAATAAGATAAATACTATCTTTCCAAAGAAGGAAATTTGCCTTCCTGTTTTATACTGTGTTTCCCTGAAAATGAGACAGGGTCTTGTATTTATTTTTCCTCAAGAAGACGCCCTACGGCTTATTTTCAGGGGATGTGTTTTTTTTTTTTTTTAAGTACTGAACAACAGTCTTTATTGATTCAAATAGAGTGAAGTCGTCTTCTTCTGGAACATCATCCTCACTCTCCAAACCCCGAATCCCATCCTGAATGTCTTGCGACTCTGTTTCCTTTAGAACCACTGGCCCTCAATCTCTCGCTGTGGATGCACTAGAGGCTCTCACGGGGCGGATGAGAAGGGCGCTCGTGTTCTTTCCCGCCCCGCCGATGACAGCATGGGTTGTTCAGATGTCTGCGCAGCCACGCCCATCCTAGGTCCTGATTTTCATAGCCACGCCATCACTAGGGCCTGTTTTCATAGCACGCCCACCACTAGGGGCTGTAATTTTCAATAGCAGCCGCCCATCCCTAGGGCTGATTTCTGGCTACACCCATCATAGGCTGATTTTTCACGCCATGCCCCACTAGGGCTGATTTTTTCGTGGCCATGCCCATCCTAGGGCTGATTTTCCATAGCACCGCCCTCACTAGGGGCTGATTTTCATGCCACCGACCCACCCTAGGGGCTGTTTTCATGCCACGCCCGTCATAGGGCTGATTCCATAGCCACGCCACCCTGAGGGCTGATTTCATAGCCACGCCCGTCATAGGGCTTATTTTCGGGGTGGAGACTTTCATTGCACAAATGCTTGGAAATCCTGCTAGGGCTTATTTGATGGGTAGGTCTTATTTTGGGGGAAACACGGTAGTTACAGCGCCTGGTCACGTGATGAAAAGCAACATCTAAATCTCAAAGCGTCACTGTGCATTCCTGTGTGTTTAGGACCAAGAACACCATTACCTGTGTCTTCTTTGCAAACAGGCTTTCCTTAACAGAGATTATTCTCACATCACACCCCGACCACCACCTCCTTCCTTTTGGGAAGACGAACGTAGAAACCATTCTCCTTCCTGAGACATTTAAGACAGCTTTACCCAGAGCCAGACGGCTTGTGTTCGCGTCTCAAAACAAAAGATCCCATCTGATGAGCAGAAGATCTTTTAACAGAGTCTTACCTTCCACCAGGCCAATGTGGAAGCAATGTGGAAAACACTTGAGCCTGTTCTTTGTTAAGTATGGGGAGTGATGCTGTCACCGTGTGTATTGGTCTCTTCCTCATTGTTTCTAATTGTATCATGCGCGTGTACATTTCTCAACGCTGCGCCGCATTATAACACAATTCAGTGGCATTATTAGCATGCACCCTTAGTCTTTTTCAAACAGGGCAACAAAATCCCTTCTTCACGGTGGTCATCTCCCGTCGTTTTGTTTTTTTGTCTGTGTATTTTTTTCTTAGCATGCCTGCTCTTTCGTAGCCGAGTTTTGATTCACCGACACCACCTCTTCGGTGAGCATTGCTTTTAGAATCAGTCCCTCACCTTAGGACAGCTTCGGGGAACCTCTGTCTCATGCCTGAAGACTGGAAGAAAGTCAAGGATCCCTAAGCGAGAAAACTCAGTGGCGTGGTTGGAATTTGCACTGGCGTCCAGTAGTTGTCATTTAGTCTCTGATTTTAAAATATAAGACACACTTTGGGGTGTTTTTGTTGTTGTTGTTAAGGATTCTAAACTGGTTTTCTTCTTAAAATTCTCATTTTTCTCCAGAATCTTCAGCTACTCGGAGCTACGGCCATTGAGGACAAATTACAAGATCAAGTGCCTGAAACCATAGAAACGCTGATGAAAGCAGACATCAAAATCTGGATTCTCACGGGGGACAAGCAAGAGACTGCCATCAACATCGGTAATTCACCTGACTCTGACGTTAAATCTGGTGCTTTTTAATAGGGTGATATGTTTTGTTGGTGGTGGTGGTTTTTTGTTTTTTTGTTTTTTTTTTTTTGAGACAGAGTCTCGCTTTGTTGCCCAGGCTAGAGTGAGTGCCGTGGCGTCAGCCCAGCTCACAGCAACCTCAGACTCCTGGGCTCAAGCGATCCTCCTGCCTCAGCCTCCCGAGTAGCTGGGACTACAGGCATGCACCACCACGCCCAGCTCATTTTTTTATATATATATTAGTTGGCCAGTTAATTTCTTTCTATTTTTTTATAGTAGAGACAGGGTCTCTTGCTCAGGCTGGTCTTGAACTCTTGACCTTGCTTGAGCAATCCACCCGCCTGGCCGGTTGATATGTTTTTTAAATTTTTTTTAAATTATAGATGTAGTAGTTGTACCTGTGGATGGGGTGGGCTGGGGGGTACATGTGATATTTTTATACAAGCAAATAATGTGCAATGATCAAATCAGGGTTGTTACATTTTGGAAGATGGATTGGAGACGTTTCACCATTTGAAAGACTCGATATTTCGGGATTCCAGATTTATAGTAATATTACACTTACACCTATTTGCTTATGGCCCCAGTATCCCGTTAAAGTTGCAGTGGTTTTTATACCCAGCTAAACTTCAGCTCTTAGAACTGCACGGTGCCTTCTCTCATCTTTGCATCTCTTTCTACTCCGTATTTCCATCCTTGAGCTGCACCTGTAGATAACATTTCTGCAGTTGTCTGTGACAATCTGGAGATGGGGCTGATGGCAGACTTGTGTGTGGATGCTTACTGGTGTGACCAAAGGTTGCTTCTGAGAAAGCAAGTAAGAAGGTTGCCAGTTTGCGTTCATCCTAGAGTGAAGTTCAATTTTTTTTTTTTTTTTTGAGACAGAGTCTCGCTTTGTCGCCCAGGCTAGAGTGAGTGCCGTGGCGTCAGCCTCGCTCAAAGCAACCTCAAACTCCTGGGCTCAAGTGATCCTCCTGCCTCAGCCTCCCGAGTAGCTGGGACTACAGGCATGTGCCACCATGCCCGGCTAATTTTTTCTATATATATTAGTTGGCCAATTAATTTCTTTCTATTTATAGTAGAGACGGGGTCTCGCTCTTGCTCAGGCTGGTCTCGAACTCCTGACCTTGAGCGATCCACCCGCCTCGGCCTCCCAGAGTGCTGGGATGACAGGCGTGAGACACCCACCACGCCCGGCCTCTGGGGCCTTTTTTAGCAGGGCACGAATCCCAGCCCCATTCATGGGGTCTCTGCCTTCATGACTGAACATGTCCCAAAGACGCCCCCTGCTTCCCTCTTCTCACTGGTTATTAGGTTTTGACACGTGAGCTTTGCAGGAACGCAAGCACTCAGACCATAGCTGGCCCCATCCTTTGACCTCCATTTAATCTCAGTAGCCTCCTTAGAGGTCCTGTGTCCAGATGCAGTCACACTGGGGCTTAGAGCTTCAGCGTATAAATTGGAGGGACAAAGACACAATTCAGCCCACAACAGAAGTGTTCCTGAGAAGAAAGTTAGTATTTGGTGTTAGAAGACTGTAGTGCCAATAATATACCCCCTCAAAAAAAAAGAAAAAAACTACTCCTTTTCCCCCAAAATTCAGTAATATACCATGTTTCCACAAAAATAAGACGGGGTCTTATATTTATTTTTTCTCAAGAAGACACCCTAGGGCTTATTTTCAGGGGATGTGTTATTTTTTTTTAAGTACAGTACAGCCATCTCCATCTGCACAACCCATGCGTGTCGTTGCGGAGCGGGAAAGAACACGAGCAGCCCTTCTCATCCGCCCCGTGAGAGCTCTAGTGCTCCACAGGAGAGATCGGGGCCAGTGGTTCTAAAGGAAACAGAGTCGCAAGACATTCAGGATGGGATTCGGGGTCTGGAGAGTGAGGATGAAGTTCCAGAAGAAGACGACTTCCCTCTATTGGAAAAAATTTAGACGGTTGTACCATACTTAAAACAAAAAATAACACATGCCCTGAAAATAAGCCCTAGGGTGTCTTCTTGAGGAAAAATAAATACAAGACCCTGTCTTATTTTCGGGGAAACACGGTAACTGCCTGCCTGCACCCTTCTCTGGAACCAGTCGTTGGCCCGTCTTTTACTCTTCATGTCAGTCATCACGAAGGGCATCCCGTGGACATCTGTCAGCTCAGGACGTTGAGAATATTTACAGCGATGTCTCTCCATATTTTTCATCCAGATAGCGTTAACAAGCCAGATGTTGTCCTCATAACATATCTGTCCTTTAGCTAGCAAGAGCATTTCGTGTTTATCTGTCTGCCATCCCTCCTGATGAGTCCATCTTTAGATATTTTGTTAGTACATACTATTACTACTTTAACATTTTTATAGGTTTTCTCTGGAGAGATTAATTATATCAACTGATTTACTCTGTTTGGACGTAGGGCACTCCTGCAAACTTTTGAAGAAGAACATGGGAATGATTGTCATAAATGAAGGTTCTCTTGATGTAAGTAAAATTATGCCTTTTTTTTAAAAAAAAAAAAAACTTCTTTAATAACTCATTTATCTTGTAGCATTTTATTTCGTATTCGGATAGCTGTGGAAATAGTTTATCTTCCCGAGGTTAAAGGATTCCTCATCACTCTTGTCCTTTAATATCATGTACACTGTCTTGAACCATATTGAATTAAATTGATTCGAGCTTTGTTGCATCTGTGACAGTTAAAAGAAATTTCTAGACGATTTGCTTAATACCATGAGACAGAAAAGCCACTTTGCAACAGTGTTATGTGGGCAGGTTGCCCAACGACTCCAGCTCGTTCGTGTCTGAGTGTTTTGTACATTGAGCATCGTACGTCTGCTTTAACTTCCTGTGCTAATATGTGTTTTTGACTCTTAAAAAAAAAAGGTTGAATGCCGTTGAACACACAAAGTAGCCATTCCTACTAGGACAGATTTTTTTTTTAATTTCCTGACTTCTGGGATGAAAATTTAAATTCCCAGGGTATCTTTTTCTTTTTCATGGCTACGATCACGTGTGCTTATTATATTTGGGAAAGGGGAGAGGATTTGTTAGGAATACAGCGTAAAGTAGAAGTTAAAAAATAATAATAATAATAAGGTGTGGGCCAAATGACCTGTTAACTATTTTAAAGTAATTTAAGGTGGAAGACAGAACAAGACAAGTGATGATACAACTGCTTGAAATAGTCAACTGTGATGAAAAGAGCAGAGCAGAGAATACCTGATAATTAGGCATCTTGGTGAGATCGAGAAGCCAGCCATGTAAAAGGGACAGCGTTTATGCCTTTGTCGGTCACGTGGGTCACGCGTGATGCATGACTTCTCCTACATTTAAAGAAAATCAGAGCTGGGACCCTATGATGATGAAGGAAAAACAGCACAAGCTGTCCTGGATTTGACGTGGGATCCCTCTTGCCTAGATTTACGCCTTCACCTTTGGTAGCATTTGCTGCTTTCGTTTTATTCCTTTATTTCCTCCAAGTTTTGGATAAACCATCGGAGGAAATAATGGAACACAATAAAACAAAAGCAGCAAATGCTAGACATCAAGCATTTATATCAAGAAGTGCTTTAGGCCGGGCGAGGCGGCTCACGCCTGTCATCCTGGCACTCTGGGAGGCCAAGAGATGAGCGGATCGCTCAAGGTCAGGAGTTCGAGACCAGCCTGAGCAAAAAGGAGACCCTGCCTCTACTATAAATAGAAAGAAATTAATTGTCCAACTAATATATATAGAAAAAAATTAGCCGGGCATGGTGGCGCATGCCTGTAGTCCCAGCTACTTGGGAGGAGGCTGAGGCAGGAGGATCTCTTGAGCCCAGGAGTCTGAGGTTGCTGTGAGCGAGGCTGACACCACGGCACTCACTCTAGCCTGGGCAACAGAGTGAGACTCTGTCTCAAAATAAATAAATAAACAACAACAACAAAAGAAGTGGTTTGGTTATCAAGAAGCATAAATAGTAATCTCAGGGAAAAGCCAAAAGTGAAATACCAAAGGTATCCACTGTATCGGTAAGACAGCAGCAGCATGTGTTTTCGTTTTTGAGGTTTCTAAGGTGGTGACTCAAAATTAATAAACACCTCGAAGTTACTTGCACCGCCTGTTTCTGCCGGAGCAAACGTTGACGGGAGTCTCAGTTTGAATACTCAGTTTGGATGGAAGCGAGGATGGAGTCTCTTCCGGTTTTCCTTTCTCTCTCAGCACCCAGCAAATGGTCTAGCGTAGGAAGTACTCTATAAATGTTTGAGAATTGACTCACTGGGTAATGTTAAATTATGGGGTTCCCTTTTTTAAAAAAAAGTTTTAAAAAGTTGCGCATGAGTTTTAAATTTGGTAGCAATAGATCCTGTCTGATATGGTAAAAGTAAGGCGGTTAAAAATCTCCTTAGCAATTCAAGTACCGTGTTTCCCTGGAAATAAGATGGGGTCTTATGTTTATTTTTCCTCAAGAAGACACCCTAGGGCTTATTTTCAGGGGACGTGCTATTGTTTTTTTAAGTACGGTGTAACCATCTACATTGATTCAAATAGAGTGAAGTCGTCTTCTTCTGGAACATCATCCTCACTCTCCAAACCCCAAATTCCATCCCGAATGTCTTGAGACTCTATTTCCTTTAGAACCACTGGCCCCGATCTCTCCTGTGGAGCACTAGAGCTCTCACGGGGCAGATGAGAAGGGCTGCTCGTGTTCTTTCCCGCTCCTCGACAATACGCATGGGTTGTGCAGATGCGCTGCGCAGCCATGCCCGTCACTAGGGCTGGTTTTCATAGCCACGCCCATCACCAGGGCTGATTTTCATAGTCACGCCCATCACCAGGGCTGATTCTCACAGCCACGCCCATCACTAGGGCTGATTTTCATAGCCACGCCCATCACCAGGGCTGATTTTCATAGCCACGCCCATCACCAGGGCTGGTTTTCATAGCCACGCCCATCACCAGGGCTGATTTTCATAGCCACGCCCATCACCAGGGCTGATTTTCATAGCCACGCCCACCACTAGGGCTGATTTTCATAGCCACGCTGAGCACTAGGGCTGATTTTCATAGCCATGCCCACCACTAGGGCTGATTTTCATAGCCACGCCCATCACTAGGACTTATTTTCGGGGTGGGGCTTCTATGGCACACATGCTTAGAAATCCTGCTGGGGCTTATTGTATGGGTAGGTCTTATTTTCGGGGAAACACGGTAGCAGTTTGGTAATGGCAGGCAGACACCGTGGCTAAGTAGATTAACTTTAATTTGTCCACCCCCAGACTGCCAGGCCTTCTAAGGCTACTGTCTGGGGAAGGGTTTTCTCCCAGAGAGTTTGGTGGTGAGGGTACCAATCCGACTGTTGGGGTCAGGCCTGCTGGGCACCCTCATTTGTTTCTCAGCAGGAAAGGAAGCACCACTTTGCATAGCTCTTTCCAATCTCGTGTCTCGTAAAATCCACGGCCGAGATGTCAGGCAAATCGTTAGGTGTGCAGGAGTGCCTGTGGGTAAATGATGATTTATTTTTCCACCGCTGTGGGAGAGAAAAGCATCCAGCCTGTGTTCAGATTGTACTGATGGATAATAAGATATGGGATTATCATTCCATCAGCATAAAGAATAAATAACATTTAAGTAATAAACTTAGGAACATAATACCTTGGGAAATAAATTGTCAGTGTACGTTTTTTTGTTTTTTTTTTCAAGTGACAGGTTTTCATGAGCGGACTCAAATCATTCTGTGCAAATAGCACGGTGGTTAAGTAAGCACAGTTTGCCCCAGCCTGACTTGGGGGTGCGGAGGAGGACCCTCAGCAAATAAAAACCTCTCAGAAACCCCCCCAAACCTCTCAGAATCCCCTCCTACTTAAATCATCTATATCCAGGGAATCTTTTTTTTATGTCTTTTAGTTTGTTGTAAAGTGGTGTGTTCAAAGCCTGTCTATTAAAACTAGAAACGTTAAAATTGTGAGCCTAAGAGCTAGAGCGTCTCATACTGTGACCTATTTTAGCTCCCAGTTTTTAATTAAAGTCTTTCAAAATGCACTAAAAAAAAAAAAAAAAAACAAAAAACGGTTCTGGAAGGATTGGACTTACGTGATATTAAGAAGTGTGATTATAATATTATTCAAATTGCTCCTAGCATAGCTACTCTGTGACTCCCTGGAAATAGTTTCAGGTGACTTAAGATACTAGCTCTTTCAAGTGAGGCACAGGGCATGTGCCCGTGGTCCTGGCTACTCAGGAGGCTGAGGCAAGAGGATCCCTTGAGCTCAGAAGTTCCAGACCAGCTGGGACAACATAGCAAGACCCCATCTCTTTAAAAAAAAAAAAAAAAAGCCTTTTTATATAATAACTTGTAGCAAAAGTGTTTAACATAGGAAATCCACCGAAAGACTGCAAGAAAATAAAACAGCAACGTTTTTTAAAAATACATTATGTATTGCTTTTTGTCAAATTGGTTTGGTCCAAAGTTTCTGCTTCATGGTAGAAAAATGTTGAAGAGCTGTTTCGCTGTGATAGCTCAGGATTTCACCATTATTTCATCTAAATGCGAGGTGGGTAGGAGGGACCATAATTTCTGAAGCCACTAACTGTGGGACTTAAAGAAACAGATGTCTTATCGGTGTCAAAACTGTCTTTCTCGAATCTCTCGTGATATACCTGTAAGCGTGGTCTCTCCTTCTCAAATCTCTTTTCTATGGAGGGTTGTGGAATCTGGAATCCTGGAGGTGGAGCTAAATCTTATTATCACACCCATCCGTGCTGTTTTCCCTCCTCCTTCCTGCTGCCTGGCTTGCCCAGGAAACAAAACAGGAGCAGAAAGAGAAAACAATCACTGTGCATTTATTGAACCAACAGGCATGATGTTTGGAGAAATAAATTTCCTTACCCTCAAAGTCTAAGGCTTCCAGCGTTCCCAGAGTTTCGCCCTGGAGAATCCCTGCCTACCCTCCACCCCCCATGACCATCTGGGCCCAGTTTTTTCCAGATCGTCCCTGCTGTTGTGGACATTCACATTCAGCTGGCGTTTTTTTTTTTTTTTTAAGTCCTCATTGTTTTGTGGCAGGTACTGGACTAAGGACTTCACAGGGACAATCACATTTGCACCTAAAAATACTAGCAGGCAGATACTGGTGTGCCCATGTTGCAGATAAGGAACCCAGAAAGGGTGACTTGGCCAAACAAGGGTAGCTCAGCAGCGTGGAGTATGTCAGTCTAACTCATTTGAGCATGAGAAGCAAAATAGGTCTTTTGCTCTCTCGGCTACCACATTTATAAGACAAGAGCAGTGAAAAGATCCATCTCGTACAAGGGTGAGGTTGTGAGGATCAAACTAAACAATACCTGTTAAATACTTAGAAACAATGCTAGGTATGAGGATTGTCGTGCTTATTCTTTCTTTTGCGTGGCATTATTTCTGGAGGAGGAGGGTTCTTCGTGGCCAGCTGCTATAAGACACGACCTCGAACAGCTGCCCTGCTCTTAAATTACTTAACTTTCTCTA